TGCTATTCCTTCTGGAGGGGGAAGCCCCAAACATCAGGACTCGGGTGCTCACGTGGGCGTGGAGGATGAGCCCCAAGCTGTGAGTGGAGGGAGAGCAGAGGAGGCAGCCCTGGTTCCCTAGGCACCTGGAAAATCTGCCTGAACTTCAAATTTTCCAATTTCTAACCACTCTACAAGGAACCCCCGTCCATTTAAACCCACTTGGCTTTATCAGAGCTTCCCTGTCTGAGTGTTAATTACTCTGTTTTAGTGGTACTTCACATACTTAATTTGGGTTTTTTTAGTGAATTTACTCTTCTTTGTAATTAGAAGGAGCGATTAAAATATTTTAGGTTACCCTGGAGTTTTCTGTAATAAAATACTTAGAAGTGATGCCATTGGGTGGGGATTTCAGTGCCACGCTCCCTGACTGGCATTCCATAACGATGAGTGAGGGACCCACTCCGGTTCTGGGTGGTCGTTCTAGCTCCCTGGCCGTAAGGAGATTTTGGAGAAGGTGGGAGAACCTCTGAGGAGCGTGATAGTCTCATTCCCTGAGGTTGCAGGAGCGTATGTGGTGCTGGGGGCTCCGGCGGACACGTGGGGTCCCACCCCAGGGAGCTGGGCTCAGCGGGAAAAGGGAGCAGTGGCGAAACACAGGAGATCATAGAGTCACGGAATCATTAAGGTTGGAAAAGATCATCAGGTCCAACTGTCAACCCAACACCGCCATAACCACTACACCATGTCCTGGAGTGCCACATCTACACGTTTTTTGAACCCCTCCAGGGATGGTGACTCCATCACTGCCCTGGGCAGCCTGTGCCAGGGCTTCACCAGTAAAGACATTTTTCCTAATATCCAGTCCAAACTTCCCCTGGTGCTGCTTGAGGCCATTTCCTCTTGCCCTACCATTTGTAACTTGGGAGAAGAGGCCAACACCCACCCCGCAGCTGGAGGGAAGCAGCACATCTCCTGCGAAAATTGGTGCTTCCGAGGCATTCGCCGCTAATTCTCCAGCGCGTGCATTGACAGCCTCGTCTGGGTTAGAATTCGAGGTTTGGAGAGGAAGGGAGTTAAAGCTGAGATAATTGCTGAAATGGAAATTGAGACTTCAGTTGTATAAAGAGGATAATAAACCAGTGTTTTCCTTTCTGCTACGGATTCTTTCCATCAAAATCATGGAGCGAGTGTCTCCCAGATACTCACCGAGATGTCCTAGAGCAAATCGATGCTAATGGTGTGGGGGCGACCAGAGCGTTACCAGAAACAGATTAAAATTCAGCTTCCAGCCGCTCCGAGGCATCCTTCAGAGGGTTCATTAGCTTTCTGAACTACTCTTTTGCTTCACCTTGGAACATTTTCTGCTTTCACATCCTTATTAAAATTCCTTAATGCAACTGTGTTTGTGTACTTCACAGGTTTCGGCGTTTTCTACATGGGAAAAAGAGCTCCACAAAATAGTATTTGATCCACGCTACCTTCTATTAAATTCAGAAGAGCGTAAACAGGTGAGCGTTACCTCCAGCATCACTTCTGCCTGGCAGCAGACTTCTCCCAAATTAAGCATAATAACAGAGTAATTAACTTGGTATGCAGGATGAATAGAATTGGATAAAATTAAAACTTCTTTGATTTTTTTGGTGAGACTTGTACTTTAGGCTCTGCTCGTAAGAAAGTTGTGTCTCTTCAAAAAGCAGGTGGTGGCAAGTGGGTTTGCACCTAGAGACGAGCATCGGTCTCTTGGGTTGTTGGAACATCTCCTGACTCTGGGCTCTGGGACGGGAAATGACCATCTTCCACTCTGAGTTATTTAAATATTGTAGAGACACTACTTTGTTTTTATTACTTACAGCATTTCTCTTTGAAGGGGTTTAGTTTTTCGGGCAAGCTGCAAAGGGAAGTGGATGCCTTGCTGCCTTCTTTATTTGGGCATTAATTATCACCAGGGCTCTGAAGGGACCCAAGGGCTGAGGATTAGTCTAAAAAATTTAGGAGAGATGCAAGGATGTTGCAGAGAAGGTGAATACTTCTACTCTGTAGCTATTTCTCTTCCTGACCGCTCTTTTGTCATCCTGGAGAAGGAATAATTTTGAATATAGAATTGTCCATTTTTTAAAGAAACACGGTGAAAAATGTACTTATTCCTATGCTGTTGCGCTGGGGCCCGTTTTGTCTTGTGATTCTCCAGAGAGCTTCCGGTAGGAATTTACTGAGGGGCTGCACACATACATCTTCATTTACTCCTTTTCCAATATTTCCTTTCCTAAGACAAAAAAAACTGAAATAGCATGATAAGGAAATATGAGCATGAAAATGTAAGAGAAACTGCTAGAATGGAAAATACTGCTAGACAAGAGACTAAGCAGGGAGTTTTGTATTTATTTCAGGGAATCAGCAAGGACAAAACCTAGACCTTGGTGAGTCAATCAAGATATATTACTTCTTTCATTTTACCAGCCTTGGAGATGATATAATAAAAGCGCGTCATGAATACACATAATATAATGTGCTTGAAGCACTGCTGAGGGGGACCTCGTTCGTGGGTACGTTTAACTCTCAAGGAGAGGGTTATGAAAAGCAGGTAGTTGGCAGTCCTGGGGGTAGGAGCCCCTAGTCGGGTAGAGGCTGGCTCTGGGAGTGACAGAAATTCAGGCTCGGAGCTCAAAGTTGATTATTCTTCTCGAAGGAACAGAAGATGATTGTTGGTTGCTCTTCTGCAAAACTGAGCTAAAACCCCAGTAAGCTTAGTGTATGATATAGTGCAGTACCAAGGCTGCCATTAAGATGTCTGGGCATTCATTAGGAGTAGTGCTGTTTAATTAGACCCCGTTTTCCTCCAAGAAATAGTTTGAGAAGGAAGACAGACTCGGACAAGAGTAGGTGCCTGATTTAATGAAAGTACTTCTTGAAGCGCAACTCAGATGAGCTGAAGATATTATTTAGGTTTGTGGAAAGGTTTGCCTTCACGGATGCTGAGTGTGTGGCCTGAATAGCAAGTGTCTGAGTAGTTTTTTAAATTATGCAAATGGATTTATATTGGAGGGGGTTAGAGGTAGACAGTGGCTCACAATGAAAGTGAGGAATAAGGAAGGAATAAGGGGATGGATGTATGGAGGGAGGGAGGGATGGGTGGGGGGAGGGAGGGATGAGTGGATGGATGGAGGGAGGGATGGGTGGATGGATGGAGGGATGGATGGATGGGGGGAGGGAGGGATGGATGGATGGATGGAGGAAGGGATGGGTGGATGGATGGAGGGAGGGAGAGAGGGAGGGAGGGAGGGGGGATGAGGGAATGGATGAGTGAGTGCTGGTTGTACTGGAGGTTTCTTCTTTCCCTGGTCAGGCAGATGTGTGGGAAGGGACAGGGAAGGGGTTTTGACGGTGTCTGAGGGAACTTCCACTTAACTTGAACGTGTGTTGAGATGGGGCTGACTTCTCGGGGTGCAAGCTCTGCCCTGGGTGGGTGTCCTCACACAGCCCGAGGGCCATAAGGAGCTGTTATTGAACATCTGCCGTTTGCTCCGCTGGCTCACCAGTGTCTGCCAAGGAATTAGTAACGGTCAAAAGATGCTGCTATGTTTAAGCAAGGAACAATGAAGGGTAAAGGAGCAACTGTATTAAAATAATGAGCAGTCTGTTAATTTTGATTTATTACCTTCTCGATAGCTTCACTGATACCAGAAAGGCAAGGAACAACAGTGTCACCTACTTCATTTTGTTCCATTTTTTTTCCATCTCCTCTTACACGCAGCTTGTGCAATTGCATTCAGTAGAATATATTTAGATGTCTTAAGTTTTTTGTGGTACTTCTTTCATGGCTGTTTTTTGATCGTTACATTTCCTGTGCTATTTCTTCCCTTTTCCACATACCATACTAAATAGCAGTTGTAATTTGGTTACTTTAGCTTCCATGAAATGTAGATTTGCACCTGTGCATCCTCACGGCTGATGAGAAAGTGACTGTGGCAGTAACTGCAGTAATCACGTTTAATGCGTGTAATTTACAGTGGAGAAGGATGGTGAATATGGAAAGCTAATAGCGTTTTGAGGAGCAACTCTTTTTATTCAGCAACTTCGTGTGCCACGCTTTAGAGCGTGAAAGCAGCAGGGCCAGGTTTTTGGTGTTCAGAATGTGATTAAAGGAGTTGGCAGAGTTTTACGATGTAGCGAACTCCTTTCAGAAACACAAAAATCCTGATGCCGAGCCCTCTGCTGCATATTCAGCTGCCAAATGCTGTTAGAGAAGGGTTGTTGACCCTTCCAAACACATTAAAGCTTTCCGCTGTATTTGTACCGAATATCATGTGTAAGCTTGTGGGTTTTTGACAGCTGATTTGAAGGGTCTTCGGGCTCTTTTGGGGGTAACCTACAGAACACTGATGTTTAGCATCACAGACATTTTTCAGGAATTCCAGCAAATTGGGAAAGATGTGAGATGCAAACTAAATAACCGCAGTCGTACACATGCACAAAAATAATTCTAGGGGCATGAAAATGTGAGCAAGGCTCTGAAGTCGGGAAGGGTTTGGTTATGTTGTACTTGATGTGTGCATGAAGGTGGTGTCTATCCAAATTGTACCTTTTCCTAACTACTTATTTTGTGAGAACACGCGATCAGGGCTCCATGAAGCTGATTCCATGCAGGAGAGTCAGCCCAGGCTGAGGGCAGGCAAGACCTGCAGCCCTCTGATCAAGTGTAAATATCAAAAAAGGCTTCGCTAATAAATACTCTGTCTTCTTTCCCTTTCTCGGAAAGATATTTGAGCAGTTTGTCAAGACCCGGATCAGAGAAGAGTACAAAGAAAAGAAAAATAAACTGCTGTTAGCCAAAGAAGAATTCAAAAAGCTCCTTGAAGAATCCAAGTTATCACCAAGGTATGGCCTTGCCTTACGCAGATTTGTTAAGAAAAGCTCCCTCGTTTTGCCATTTTTTTCAGCCCCAGAGGAACGCTGAGCGGACCCTTCAGGGCAAGCGTGTGCATCCCTTGTTACACAGCTGGGTTGACATTTTTTCCCTAATATTTTACAATATTTTCTTATCCTACTGGGAAAGGGAACATTCCATCTCCCTCTCTGTTCCGTTCTGCCATTCAAATGTGTAATATTTTTCATAACACGTTTCTGTTATATGTGTATATATGCTGGGATTGTAGAACACACAGAGATATATTAACTGTTCAGAATCAGTACCCGAACGTTAGATCTCGTGTGTATTAGGCGTACAGGTGCAACAAGTGAAAGCCTGTAGTTAGGCTTGGATTTCGATGGGAGAGAAATATAATTTAACAAAGTTACAGCGAATGCCACATCACTAAATTACAGCGTGCAGTGCGATAATTTGTTTTTCTACGTTGCCCTTTAAGTAACGGACCCAACGCTGCGCGACAGCAAATGCAGTGCTTGGGAGAGTGCTTTCTCATTTGTTAATTGTGTGCAAATCAAGCTGTATGTATTACAAATTTGATTAAAGTGTTGGATCTAAGAAATCATAGTTTTCTCTACTAAAACGTGCGGGGTTGTACAGCACTGCCTGCCTAGACACATGGATAGAAACACCGCATCAGGCTCTGCGGAAGTCATCATTGTAATCTGGTTTTTAACAACAAAACTGAGAGTATTCTGAGCTAAATGCTGCTTCCAGCAATGATGTTTGCAGGCTGCAAGGGCAAAATCCTGCTGGTGTACAGGACAGAGAACATTTTCCCACAAATGTTTTTGTGGCGCTGATGGTGTTACAGAACCTCCCCTGCCTGCGGCGGGCTCTGGCTTGATTTTTGATGCGCGACGAGATAAATGAACCAAAAAACATTTCCAATGAAAAGAAAACGGGTGTTTCTCCAAGGAAAGGGAGGGGACCATTGGAGGGGATTGTCCCCCTGTGCTCTGCACACCTTGAGTGCGCGCTCCCTCCAGCCCCTCGAGATCTCTCTCGTGTAAAGGTGCCCAAAATTGGACCCTTGAGATCCCTCTCGTGGTGAGGGGGGCCCACAAAGGCCCCGGTCCGGTTTAGGGGGC